CGGGATGCACCACCAGATTGCTCCACCGGCCTCCGATTGCTATTCCAATCCCCGCCCAGAAGCCAAGGGCCGGTGATAGTAGAAGAGAGATCTTCAAGCACGGGCCATAAATCCGTCGACCCCGCGGGTGCGGCGATGCGTAGATGAAGGTGATTGTAGTCTCAACCAGATTAGAAGAAAGTCGAAGGTGAATGAATAGTTGGTGACATCGTAGGTTCGTCACTTGAACACTATGCCTCCATAATATCCAAATACCACCGGAGTAACCATTAGCTTCCACCCGGAAGGAATGAGAGAAACCACTTCTTCGGATGAAACTATCCGCCTTCCTCCCGCTTATCCTCAGTTCAAAAAGTGTTGCAACTACAGGTCGGACTTGCGAAATAGTTGTAGAGAAGGCTCTGACAAAGCGGTTGCAACCAGCCCCTTGAACATTCCAGGCTAAAATATTCATAAAGGAAACAAATAAGAAAGGAGAACCTAGGGGATCAGCAGCCACCAGCCGCACCCGAGTCCACAACCATGACCACATTGTCAGCATTCATATTAACGTCTGGTTCGGAATCCAGAAGCTCCTCATCAGGTGGCTCTTTCGGGTGAGCATTGTCTCCCGGAGACGGATCCACCACTCGAACTGCTGTGTGCCTTGAGGGGTCCAGTTCACTTGCCACCCGGATAAACTCTTGATCGCCACCCCCCTTACACTGCTTGTACACCTCGTAAAACCCACCGACCCCTCCTCTCCACTAAGTGCCCCGCTCATAAGCCCTTCAGAACGAATCTCAACGAGTCCCTCCGCATATCCAGTACCAACAGTCACAAGGGATCCCGGAACCGGGCTCGAGGGGCCCTCGGGCCGGCGAGGCTTATCCGAAGTAGCAAGTATGGGCCATCATGCTGCTGGCTGCCCTAAGGCATCTGAAGAGGGTCCGGCGGACACAGGAGGACAAGCCCCAGAGGCGCAATCCAAAGACCCAGGATCTCACAAGGCTAAAGCGGACGAGTCAAATTTTGGGCCAGGCCCGTGGATGGTAGCACAGAAGAAGGTTCGGCAATATTCCCGTCCGCAGAAGAAAGTGGAAACTGGTACCACCCGCAATCAATCGGGTGCCCCCAATGGCTCTCGTTTTGCGAGCCTCGACCGGGAGGACGAAGAAGCGGGGCGGGAGGCCCGAATTCCACAGTCGGCAGGGGCACACGTTGGAAATGGCGTACCTGGGACCTTCACGTTCAATACTACTGCCCGGCCCCATGGGGCTAAAATATGGACAAGAAAGACACCTATTGATTTTTTTCTTGTCTGCATTTATTTAAAGTCGCATTATTATGAAAACGAAGGTGCTTTGTTTTTTTAGTCCACTTGTTACATAAACTTACCCTCAAAATATCTAAGCTAATAAAAGATTAATAAGCACCCAACAATCATAACGCAAAGAAAAAAAAAAAAAAAATGGATTGGGCTATGAACTCGATCAATCCGCTCTCCAGCCTGTCACTCTCCCTCTTCGCAGTCCTCCTCCTCCTCGGCCTACTCTTCCTCCGCCCCAATCCCGCCGGCAAGACACCGCCGGGGCCCAGGGGCATTCCCATCCTCGGCAACCTCCTCCAGTTGGGTGACCTTCCCCACCAGTCCATGCACCATTGGCGGGGGCCCCACGGCCCCGTCCTTTGGGTCAAGCTCGGCTCAATCGGGACCATGGTCGTCCAGAGCTCGACGGCCGCCGCAGAGCTGTTCAAGAAGCACGACCTCGCCTTCGCAGACCGCAAGGTCCCCGACGTGATCACCGCATTCGACTTCAGCAGCGGGTCCCTCAGCATGAGCCAGCTCGGGCCCTACTGGCGGGCCCTACGCCGCCTCTGCTCTGCGGAGTTCCTCGTCAGCAGGCGCGTGAACGAGACCGCCGGCCTCCGACACCGCCTCCGGGACGACATGGAGCGGTGGATCCTCGAGGAGTCTGCTGCAGGCCGGGCCCGTGGAGGGACGGGGGCCGTCCAGCTCAGCCGGTCCCTGTTCCTGATGGCATTCAACCTGATGGGGAACATGATGCTGTCGAGGAACCTGCTGGATGTCAAGGATCCCGAGTCGAGGCAGTTCTTCGATTGCGTGAACCGGGGCTTGGAGCTTGAGGGAACCCCCAACATAGCCGACTACCTGCCGTGGCTCAAGTGGATGGACCCAGCCGGGATGAAGCGGGAGATGAAACGGCATATGAGTGTCGTGATGCGAATAACGTCTAGGTTCATCCAGGAGAGGCTGGACGAGCACAAGGCGGGGAAAGCCCGAGAGAGAAAGGATTTTCTGGATGTGCTGCTCGAGTACAAGGTGGACGGGAAGGACGGGCCCGATAGGATTACCGAGAAGAATATCAACATTGTTCTCACAGTGAGTGTTGTATACTTATATTAAGAAAAAATGGTCCCTCCTGAATATCAACAAAATTCATATGAATGCATAATAATAAGTCCTTGATGATGGTCAAAATGATCAGGAAATGTTGTCTGCGGGATCCGAGACCACAAGCAGCAGCATCGAGTGGGGATTAGCAGAGCTCCTGCGCAGCCCGCACACATTCAAGAAGGTCCGGGAAGAGCTGGACCGGGTCGTGGGTGTGGACCGGCGGGTCGAGGAGAAGGACATCGAGAACATGCCTTACCTGCAAGCGGTCGTTAAGGAAGCCTTCCGTCTTCACCCAGCGGCGCCATTGCTGCTCCCCAGGAATACCAAAGAGGACACCAACTACATGGGCTACCGTATCCCCAAAGGCACCCAGGTGTTTGTCAATGTGTGGGCCATTGGGCGCGACCAGGAGGTCTGGCCCGACCCGCTCGAGTTCAGGCCCGAGAGGTTCCTCTGCTCCAACATTGAGTACAATGGGCAGCACTTTGAGTTGATCCCATTCGGGTCGGGCCGGAGGATCTGCGTCGGGTACCAACTGGCCCGCCAGACGGTCCAGCTGGCAATGGCAACCCTGGTTCAGTCATTCGATTGGGATCTCGGGCCAGGCATCAAGCCCGAGGACATTGACAGGGAGGAACGGTTGGGGTTGACACTTAGGAAGAAGAATCCACTGCTTGTGATCCCGACTAAGCGCATAAACTGTTGACGTACATAAATTGTTTGTCATCACAACTAAGCGCATTATGACCTTGTTGTAATCAGTGGTTAGCTGTTAGCTGTTAGCGGATTATGTCAGCTGCTTTGACTAGCGGATTGTGTCAGCTGTTTTGACCAGCGGATTCTGTTAGCGGTTTGTTATAAAACTGTTTGGTAAATTAGTTGATTGCAAATAGCTGTTAACATTCAAAATTACTTAAAAGGACATTTATAAACTTTATTTTCTTTTTAATGTTAAATTTGTAATTACTTAGAAAATGCAAATTATTCATATTTTATAATATTATAAAGTAATTCAAATTAATATATTAACAAACACAAATAATAATAGAATGACAGCAACCACAAATAATAATAAAAAATATTTGGTTATTTCTTCATATTTTGCTCTTTATTTTTCTGCTGCGGACAAAGAAGCCCAAAAGTGATGAAAAAAGGGCAATACAGACCAAATATATTTTCTCCTCAAACCGCCAAGGAGAAACGCTCGACTTAGTAGCAGTTAAATTTTCAGCTGTTGGGCCTAAAAAAGCTAATGGAAAAGCTAATTAACCAAACAACTTTTTTAGTGGATTTGGAAAAGTCAAACAGCTATATGGATCAAAAAACTAGTTTTTGGGCAAAACGCTGTTAACCAAACAAGCCCTATATGTACTGCCCCATATTCTAGTGCTTCTTGGCAGTGTACGTTATATTTTTATGCTACTATACATATAATATCTGACTGCCTTCTGACATGCTAAAAACATAGTATTGGAGTGTAATCAATGTAATTTATTCCTTCAAGGTTGCCTGTAAATATGGAATATGGGTCAGGCCATCATCTTGAACTCTCCACATATATATGGGCCTTTTTCATCGAGTTTGGGTGGTGGAGTACTTCAGCCATTCCTCATTTTATGGTGTTGCATATGTTGCGAACATATCCCGAGTAAGCCCACATAACTAGATGACAACTCGTGGCCCCGTTAAATATGAAGTTCCATATGACCAAGCAATCCCAATAATACAACCGGACCTTCGGACAACAATCAGATCAACATAATGTCGATCCTCGCCGTGCACTATATGAACACTCTCTGACATACCAAACTCGTAAAGTTGCTGAAGACAGTGAAACCACCCCCTAAAAGGTTTCGTCTCACCGCCCAAATCAATCATTTCCTGCTTAAAAGGGCGCACGTCCCGTCCTCAAAAGGCGAATTTTTGCATGGCACCACGTGTCATTCACCTATGCATCAAGGTGACAATCAACTATACTGTGGACATACAGGACTCCTCTGTGTCATTTGCACACGAGATATATTGTGGACAAACTCCACTGTGTCGTCTGCGTGTGAAACTTTATCGAAAATTCGTTTGTGCACTTAGTTGTAAAAAATATGTTCTGTGTCTTTTCCTTCTCTTTTTGAAACTTCCATAGACTCTTTTCATTAGCAAAGTCCGCCGCTTATAGCCACAGCCACTCTTTTCAAAATTGTAAGCAGATTTTTTTTTTTTTTTTGTTTGTAATTTGAGTTTGTTTGTATATTCGAATTCTCTATTCTTTCTGAATTAACTTCCTTATATATTCTTATTTTTTATTTTTATTGTAAATTTGAGTTTGTTTGTATATTTGAATTCTCTATTCTTTCTGAATTAACTTCTTTATATATATACTTATTTTTTATTTTTATTGTTTACTTAAAGTTACTACTATTTTATTGTGTCTATCTTTTCTTCAAAGTATTTGACATTATTGGAATTTTGATTCAACTGTATCTTTTGTGGCATGTTTTTTTTTTTTTAAACAAGATATAGTTATGTATTTTTGTCATCTTAGAAAGTTAGAATACAATTTTTAAATAATATTATTTAAATGTCATGATAAAAAAGATTGCATGTAAGTTCTTGTGGGCATAGGTTTGTTGTGCAAAGTAGATAATCTGGTTACCTTTATATACCTAGGGTACCTTGGTGATCAAGAGACTCCTAGTTAGGAAAGAAATCCTCTTGTATCCACCATTCTAAACAATAAGATCTGCTGAATATGAAAGTCCTTAGTAAAAGTCGTCTCTAAGCCCAAATTACCCAACACCACGATACTTATTGAGGTACGATAATTGGAACATCAGAGGGTCATTTATGAAGCTCTCGTACTAGAGAAAGATCTTACTCCATGCGTCCTAGGTCCAGCGGTCACATGACCGACCTCCTTACTTACCTGCCAAAAGTCTCACCAAGGTCGTAACCACGACCTCAATCCGAATGACCTACACGTCATGAGGTCTCTCTGGTAAGAACTCCTTAGGTCTCCTCGCCTCCGAGCTACGCAAATACTACTCTGGACCTTGAGCCGCCTATATGGGGCTCCTTGACAAGTGTAGGTGGTAAAAATGGGTTGAGCTTTCTTGAATCTCCCACGACCGAGCTAACCACTTCGGCTAATTTACCGAGCTTTTCTAGATGCTATATAATAATGTACACTATTCTGACAAATAGACAATAGTGGTTGAACCAATAATACCTATATCAGTACAACTACCGTGTGCCCTGGCACACCTAGCAAGGTGTGTCAGGTCAATTATGCACGCACGAATTCACCCTCAAAAACTAGAAAAATGAGAAATTGTAGTACACATGCCACTTTCCATTTTTTAATTTGAAATGAGACATATCAGATAAATTAAAATATCATTAATGATTTAAAATATCATTAATGATTTATATTAAAATAAAAAATAAAATATCAAAATTCATAATTTTTCATTCTCTATATATAGAGACCACATTTGGTAGGTTTTTGAACATAATTATTATTTTTTTCATAATCAATTTATTATGTTGACATAAGATGAACATGTTACATAACAAGATGAATATGTTATCAAATAAGATGAACATATTACGGATGGGAGAATGAAATAATACTTGTTCGCTCTATTTTTTTAACTCCAAAAAAAAATGAGTTCAACAAAATAAAATGTTACTAGACAAATCAATAATGTTGGGAACAAAAATAATAAATGTGTTCAAAAAAATTTTATTTTTATAACATGTTCATCTCATTTTGTAAAATATTCATCTTATTTTATACATGTTCATATCTTATTGTGTAAATATGTAACATGTTCATCTTTTTATGAATTTGCGTCTTCATCTTTAAAGAATAAGATAAACTAACTGTGAAAAGTGGTAAATTAATTGTGTTCTAAAATCTATCAAATGTGGTCTCTATTTGTAAAGAATAAAAAAATATGAATTTTGGTATTTTTATTTTTATTTTTTAATATAATATATAAATGATAATTTAATTTATATAATATGATATATAAAATTCATTATCCCATATAAATGGGACACATGTTCCATAAAAAAACAAAAGAACTTACCTCGCGCATTTTTTTTTTTTTTTTGGAATTGTATTACACAAAGGCGTTTGACACACCTACTTATTTGCGTACCTCTATCGCGATATGACTATAGGAATGCATTTAAAACACTCCCTTTAGATAAAACAAAACATAGTTTGAAAACACAAATTTTCATTTCAATTAAATGCACGTTGACTTACACATATATACAGATATACACTCCATTAATCTTCATTCTTAGCTTAAATTCAGAAAAAAAATGGCTTGCATTTTACTCCCCTGTTTAGCCACCCTACTCGCATTAGCCCTGTTTCTCAAGTTGTTGCTCAAATTCAAAAACATCTCCTCGAAACCCCATCCTCCGGGCCCGCCGGGCTGGCCGCTGGTCGGCAACATCTTTGATCTGGGCGAGGTGCCCCACCAGACACTCCACAAGCTACAGGCCCGCTACGGCCCGGTCATCCGACTCAAGCTCGGGACCATCAACACCATCGTCGTACAATCATCTGAAGTAGCGGCTGAGCTCTTCAAGAAACACGATCTCACATTTGCCAGCCGAAAAGTGCTAGATTCAATGACAGCCTTAGGGTACAACCGGGGCAGCCTGGCCTTTGCGGCCTACGGTGAGTACTGGCGGAAGGTACGCCGCATTTGTACAGTGGAATTTCTCGTCATGAAGAGGCTAAACGAGTCGATTCCCATCAGGCGGAGGTGCGTGGATGGTTTGGTTGACCGGATCAACAGCGTAGTCGAGAGATCCGAGGATCCGATTATTGAATTGAACTCGTTCCTCTTTTTGGCTGCTTTTAATGCGGTCGGGAACATATTGTTGTCGGAGGAGGTTATGAGGACGAAGCTCGATGAGAAGGGTGAGTTTTTCGAGGCCTTTCTCAAGTTTGTGGAATGCTTAGGGAAGCCTAACGTGGTCGATTGTTTCCCATTTTTGAAATGGCTCGACCCACAGGGAATTAGGAGGAATACGGGCAAGTATTTGGAAAGGTGGATAAGGTTTGCGTCCGGGATTGTGAGTGATAGGATTCGGGAGAGGGAGTCCGGTGTGGGAATGAAGAAGAATGATTTCTTGGATGCTCTGTTGGATGAAGGTGAAGTTAATCAAGATGGCCCTGATAAGCTATCATTGAAGAACATCACAATTGTCCTGCTGGTAATTTTCCTTACATATTAGATAGACCATTATCTGTTTATCTGAACAGCCTCAAGAGTTGATACATGAAACTAATAAATGGTATATCTTTGGACCCTTTAGGAAATGTTTCTAGGTGGAACCGAGACCACAGGAACCACAATCGAGTGGGGAATGGCCGAGTTGCTTCGTCATCCGAGCTCGATGGAAAAGATCCAAGAAGAAATCGATCGGGTCGTGGGACGTACCCGGAGAGTGGAAGAGGATGACCTAACTCAGATGCCTTATCTTCAAGCAACCGTGAAGGAAATACTGCGATTACACCCAAGTGTCCAGATGCTACTTCCGAGGAACTCAATGGAGGATACAGAGTTGATGGACTACTTTGTGCCAAAGGATACACAACTACTTGTGAACGCATGGGCAATCCATAGGGACCCGACCGTGTGGCCCGACCCACTGTCCTTCAAGCCCGAGAGGTTTTTGGACGCTGATGTGGACTTCAGGGGCCAACACTTTCATCTGATTCCATTTGGTTCGGGTCGACGGAGCTGCGTCGGCGTTAACCTGGGCCACAGAATGGTGGGCCTTACTTTGGCCAGTTTGCTGCAAGTGTTTGACTGGAAGCTTGCCGGAGGCCTCGAGCCAGAAGAGCTGGATATGAGGGAAATGGTGGGCTTGACCTTGCGAAGGAAGGTGCCCTTAAAAGTAATCCCTTGTTTACGAGAATAATGATAAATTGTCTCATTAATGTGTAGTTGGCAAAAAATAATCCCCTGTTATGAGGATAATGCTAAATCGGCTCAAATGTGAAGTTGGCAAGTTTGGTGTGTACCAGATTTCATCTTACATTTTTAGAACTTGCAACTTATATTATTATTATTATTATTATTATTATTATTATTATTATTATTATTATTATTATTATTATTATAAAA